TATAATGAATACAGACCTTGAAGCTTGATCTCATTATACTTTGGCTCGTTGATAGTTTCACACAGCAATGGAAGCTAACACAAAATGTAGCTCTGTATAGTCACGCAACAAAATAATAAGAGAGCGTTTAAAATTATAACACAAAACCGCAAGAAAAAAGAAACTTCATCTAATGTCTATATAAATTGCTGATCTTCTACTTCACGTACAAGGCATGTAATAGGACTTCATACATTGCGTATATTGATCTTGCAGAATTATTGGTTTTTCCCTCCCCCTGTAGGGTGCAGAAGACTTGGGAAGGGCAGAAACTCCATTTCAGTGCTTTCAAAAACTATCAGATGGAGGGAAACACACTCAGAGAAGCAGCAGCCACCTGCTCCCTCCAGTCCTGTGAAACCTCATCTGTGCAAAAACCCATAGCCAGGGCCCTGGATTTTGATAGGGGCATGGTTGAGTGAAGGTAGTGGCACTGGGGGATCAGCTGCTGTGCATGGCACCATTCCTCCAGGAAACCTGCTGGCAAATTCTTATGGAAGTTAATAGCGACCCTGAAATCATTAACTTCCACAAGTTCCATTCCATGCTGTCAGCCCCCACCAAAGGGGTTCCAGGGCTCAGAGGCAGGTGGCAGGCATGGCAGCCTGGCTCCTGATCAGCCATGGTGCCATGGAAGAGGAGAATCCGAAGAGTAGCACAGAGGGGCAGATCACCTGTGTAGATGCTTCAGGATCCATGAATCTTAGAACATCAATGCCTTTGGGCCCTACTGCAGTCAGTAGAAAGATTCCCAGGGACTTCACTGGGAGCTGAATTACACCTGGTAGGGCCATGCCTTCAGGCCTCTCTGCAATTGCCATCCCACCAGCAAGACTAGGCCTCAGGAATTCAGGAAGTACAAACACACATATTTCCCTGGATCACGTTCCCCTTCGCATGGTTCTTATGCAGGAAGGAATGAGGGGAGGTGGTGGAATCCTCATCATTGCAGGATTTTAAGAGCGAGGTTAGACACAAACTTGTCAGGGATGGTCCAGGTTTACTTGGTTGTGCCTCATTGCAAGGGGCTGGATTGATGACTTCTCGAGGTCCTGTCCAGCCCGACATTTCTATGACTCTATGAATGATGAGGGGATTTCTAGAATACATAAACTAAAGAGGTGCCTCTTGGTGAGGTCTTCAATATTAGGCTGAATACATTGGAAATAGGCTGTCTCTTGAGATTATCAGTACTTCCTGCTTCCAGATGGACGGAAATCCCACATTAAAAGCCTTTTATCCTGATGTTTCAGTACTTATGCTTATGGTTCCAGCCAGACCAAGAGCTGCAAAGGTTCATGGAAAAGGGTGTGTGTGTGGTGGGGTGGGGGAGTATTACAAAACAGGTTAACTGAAATTTTTCAACCCTCAAACACGGTTTGGTTGGGGAGTTTGGCAGAGATCCTGGTTAGGTCTTACTTTATCCAAACCCCAAATGAGACTGTGTTTATGATTTATTAATCTTTGCCTTAATCCATTTTAAAGTATCTCTTTAAAAATAAAAAGTATCTGACACCATTGCTGTAACTAAGGCTATGTCCGTACTGCCCACCACATGTGGCGTCATGTAGGATATGGGTAGCTACGCACTTCAGGGAAAAGAAGGCTGTGTCCACACTGAAAGTGAAAGGCTGTGGCAGGGGGGAGGCAGCGGGGAAAGGCTCCGCCATCTCCCTGCAGTAGGAAAAGGCTCCAGCAGTGTAGATGGGGAGGCACAGCTTGGGTGAGAAGAGAGCCGTGTAGGATATTTACCCGGGTACACACCCACAGGGTTCAGGCACGTCTTTATTCTACTCACCTAAGCCATGCCTCACAATCTACAGTGCCGTTTATAGCCGTGTTTGTACTGTATGTACTCTACAGGCCGCTGAAAGTAATGCACAGTGTAGATGTACCTTATTTGACAAACTAGTGCTACCATGGCAGCTTCTGCATGAAGAATGAGCTCAGACTGATGACATAGCAAAAAGGAGAAAAGAGCATGAACAGTGATAAAAGTAGTAACCACTGGTTTTGGCAAGTAAGCTGAGTGAATGTGACATGGAAATTATAGAGCAAGTGTGTTTATGAAACAATATGAGCCTTGTTCACAGAGAATTGCAACAGCATCCACCATTCTAATTTAGGCCATTATTTTGGTCAGCAATCTCGAGATTTCAAAATGGGAAGGCAGGATGGGTAACTAAATTGGTGCAGCCAGTCTCATCAGAAGCTGCTGCTTCTTCCAAACAAGCTATGCCTATGGGTGGAGGATCTCAGATAGATCAATGCCATAATACAGTTCAAAACACATCTGTTTCCTTGCTTCACTAATTTTTTTCTAACTTTAAATTTCCTGTTGATTTCAATCTTCCCCTACTTGAGAGATCTCAAAAAAAGTTAGCAAGCTTGCTCTCTCCGTGGGTTCTATCCAACTTCACTCAGCTTGAACCCAGACATGGATTTTGAAACTCTCCGATGGTGCAGATGGATGAAGAAAACAAAGAACCATCCACACCATTGACGTACTCAGAGCTTTGGAACAATATCTGTATGTTCCTATAGCCAAATTCAGGCCTGGTGGAAGCAGGTTAAACTTCATTGACTTCACCGGCACTTCTGCTGGAGTTGCACCCAGTTACACCAGTTCTGATATGGCCCATTAACTCAGAGGAATAATAATAATGATGGATCATGAGAGTGTAAATCCCACCATCGCTTGTTGCCTTAAATGTTGCTCTTACATTTATATTCTCTAGGTCCATGAAACACACAAACCACTCAATACAAAAACAACTTTAAAAAGTGGGCATTTGTTTCTTCAAGCTCTTCTTTTTATATGTGATTTGTTGCTGAACCAGGTCTGTGCTGTTTAGTTTCTTTCCGGGCTCCAATTTTTCATGTCGATAGAATGATTTCTAACTGTGTCTCAGCAGAGAGCAGTGGAAATCCACTTCTTTCCTATTAATTGTTGTTAGACAAAGCATAAAATCAGAATCAGAAAACAGAAATACAAATTATGACATCAGAAAGTTAGACTCATATTCTAGATCCAGATTAACACGTATGACAGCAATAGAATTGCCCTCCCTAAGGCAGCACATAATGCCTTGTTAAATCTGTATTGTGAGTTGAAATGTCTGTGTGTGCGTCTGTGGTAATCATTTCTGTATCTATTGCAACTTTGTTATTATTTGTTTAATACAAATAGTACTGTGGTGGTGCCCAGGAGCTCCAGTCATGGACCAGGACTCGACTGTGCTAGGCACAATACAAATACAGACCAAAAAGATGGTCCCTGCCCATAGAGATTACTATCTCAGACTTTACCGATTGTGCTGTCTTTTCTCCACAGCCCTCAACACAGCAAGATGTGAGAAATTACAAAAAGAGAAGGAGGAACTGGAGAGAAGGTTTGAGGAGGAGGTGAGGAAGCTGCATTGGCAACAGCAAGAAGAGCTGCGTGCCCTTGAGGAGAGGTTGCAGTTACAGTACAGGGGCGAAATGGACCTCTTGCAAGAGGAACACAGACTTCAACTTGTGAGGATCAAGTGTCAGCACCAGGAACAGGTCAGCAATAAGTTATTCATGTTAGGGGGATAGAGCAATGCAATTACAGTGCAGGTTACTGTCCAGCTGAATGTTGTGACCTTCTTCAGTATGAAGACATTGTAACAAGCTGATAACTAGTAGAAGATCCAAGTTTCTTACCCTTCCTAGTCCAAAGAAAAGCACATACTTCTGACTGTACAATGCCTTTCAGTCACACATCCTAAAGTGCTTTACAGATAACTCACTTGTGCGGTACCAAATATAAATATTGGGCCACGTCCACCACCCTTACTCACAATGAGCAGTACCGTACCCCATTGATTTGACTGAATCTACATGTTAAGTAAGATACTTCTCAACGCAAATAAGGGCAGCAGAAGCTTGCCCAGTTATATTTCAAATTACAGATAAAGTGGGGCAGAGCGGTGAAGTGACGTACCCAGTGGCACATGTTTTGTCAACGACACAGGATAAAATCCAGATTTCCTGACTTCTGTTGTTCAACCATTAGACATTATTGCCTCTAACTGAGCACATAACTTTGACTATGAGCCTCAAGTATTTCTCCTGCTTTTCTTTCCTAAATAAATGGGATTACATAGCATATAGTATTTTTAGCCGTATTTTTTAATAAGTTAACTGCATGGCCATTTTAACTCACATATGGGCCTACTACTGTACTCGTGTGTAGACCGTGGTAGAATCGGACGTGCTAGCAGGATGCTCTGCTGTGGTTTATGGAAATGACTCCTTCCATTGACTTTGATTAATTATTCATATTGCACACAATTAACAATTGACATGGTTAAAAAGATTTCAGCCCTGACAGACTTTATCCAAAGACTAAAGGCAAATCGACACTACAGCGCTACATCGGCACAGCTGCACCACTGTAGCCCGTCCGGTGAAGACACGCTAGGCCGACGGGAGAGCGCTTGCCTGTCGGCATAATTACTCCACCTCAGCAAGAAAGAGAAGCTATGTTGGCAGGAGAGTGTCTCCCACCGACACAGCACTGGCATGGACAGCGCAAAACTTGCATCTCTTGGGGGGAAGCTTTTTCGCACCCCTAACAATGTACATTAAATGGACTTAAGCGGTAGTGTAGACCTGCCCTAACCAACGCTATTCATGGAAGGCTCTTCTCATTGTAATTTCTTTATCTTCATCATGTCTGGGTGGAATCTAACCCTGAAACCTAAGAGACAGACTAGTCCTGTTGCCTGCAGGGTCTCGTGGCTGAAATTTCACATAGGGATGCATGTACGGTACTTGGATTCTCTAATATGTATCTCATAGTTTCGTGTTTGGAGCAAAAGCCTGGGACTCAGAATTCCAGGGTTCTAGTCTTGGCTTTGCCTCTGAAACACTGAGTGATCTTGGGAAAGTCATCTAACTTTTCTGGCCCTGATCCTTGTACCTTGTGTAGTCATTTGCAATTGTGTGAGGTGAATGTAAAGCACTAATCAATCAGAATGACCCTGACTTTGCACAACAGTAAATGGCTGCATAGTGGTGCAAGACATGAGAGTGAGACCCAATGTCTCTGAGTTCATCTGTCTGTGAAATGGGTAGGATATTATTCACCTTCTGTACCTCGTGTGTGGTAAAATACTTTGAGATCCTGGGAAGAGAGTACGAGTACAAAGTGGGGAGATGATGATTTTATTTTTATCAAATGGTTCCTTATGGAGGCTCAGAGTGTTGGCCTGGAAGAGATGGGGTGCTGCACTAAGTTATGTTGATATCTACTGTCCTGTCATCTGGATGGTATGCAGAGGAGGAAAATGGTGGAAAACTTGCATCTAGGACTCACAGCCAGAGGGTCCGGCACTAGCGATGTCACAATTAGAATTGGGCAGGAAACAGTCTTCCCGTCCTGCGAAAATTGTTAAGATTTCAAAGCATCGGGTTGAAACTGAGACCTTCCAAAATTAAGGAGAAAGAGAGAGCGAGCCATCCTAAAATAGCCTATAGCCCAGTGGCTAGGGCACACCCTTGGGACGTGGGTGACACAAGATCCTGCTCTGAATCCCAACTAGCTCTAGCCAGGATAACTGCATAGCCACAAGCTCTCCAGTGTAGCTTAACGCTGAAAAGGAAGCTTTTTGTCTGAGAATGTACATAAAGAATATCCATCTTCCTCCGTTTCTAGCCTGAAGATGTTTGTTCACATGTTGTTTATTTTTTTTCCCCTCACAGTCAATGAACTGCTAATCTCTTATGGCAGATTCTAGTTAATGTCTTTATCAAGGATGTTTTCCTTCTGTCTCCTATGTAAGGTTTGATTCCTTTGTGGCGGGGATGGGAGTGCTCTCGCTGGGGTTTGACCATTCTGAATTGCTAAATCCTTTTATAGTTATTGATCTTAAATCCTTCCCAATTGTGCTGTTTTACCCAATGCTTTTGTCTGAGTATTGATTTCCTAGTATGTGGTGGGAAGTGTTGTGAAAGTTTGAGTCAAAAGCTCTTTGTGTTTTAAGCTAGAGAGTTTCCTTATCTTCGCTCTTAATCTTTTACCATCTATATTGACCCGTACTTCGTGTTGTTTTTACCCCTTTTATGTTGAGTCATTTTTGTTGGCTAAAGATGTCTTGTTGTGAAGTCTATGTACTATCAGACATTACTGATTGTTTGGGAACTCATAGGTGAGGTTTTCAATTGCTGAGGATTTAAGCTTTGGGGTTTTTTGTTTTTTGTTCTTTGTTTTCTTTGCAGTGCTGTGTTTCTATTTATTTCTTGGGCAGCTCTTAGAGATATTGGGCAGGATGGTGCTTTGCTGTTACTCTAGTTTTAAAATAAGCTGACTCAGGTCAGACAGGTTGTGCTGGGATTGGATTCTTAGCATATTTATCTTGCTCGTTTCCCAGTCTGTTATGGTTTAATCTGCCACATTATTGCCAGCTGAAGCAATGGGAAATAAGTCTGTGTCATTCAAGGGTTGCAGTGTCCCATACAAAAATATGAATTAGTCTTCAGGGCTGTTAGTCCAACACTAAGTTAAATCAAGATTTTTTTAAAATCCAAAGTAAAGTTGTGTTCCAGGTTTTCAAACATTTTCTTAACAATCTTAACCATGTACAGCACTCTCCAGCTCATTACACTTCTCCAGTTTGGGCCTCCTCTCAATATTTATTCATTAGTAAATGAATTAATTAATTTCATGGAGGAGAGATCCATCAATGGCTGTTAGCCAAGATGGTCAAGGTTAGGGTGACCAAACGTCCCATTTTTAAGGGGACAGTCCTATATTTAAGTTCTCCTGCAGGTGTCCCAACTTTTTCTTTAAAAATGGGCAAATTGTCCCATATTTTCTGTCTGTCCCCTGCCCGCACCCTCCATCAGTACTGGTGAGTCCTGCTGCTGGCCGGATCCCTGATCGCCAGCCTCTTGCCCACCAGCGGTGAGGGGGGCGTCCAGTGGCTGACAATGGGGGTGGGTAGTGCAAGGCTGGTGGTGGGACAAAGCTGCAGAGCACGGGGCCAGCTTCTCCGTCTGCTGGTCCTTCAGCGCAGCCCTCGCTGGGTGCCGGCTCTTGGCTAGCAGGGCCCCACCCTCCATCCCATTTCCGGACGGCACTGGCTGCACGCTGCGGTGGCTGGTGAGTGTGGGCAGGCATCAGGCGGCGGCCAGTTACGTGTCGCCTCTGCTGCCCACCCATCGGTCCTTTACGTCCTCCCCTCTCGCTGTCCTCTCCCTGCTTTGCCCTTTCACCCCCCAGCCCAGCTGCTCCTCCATATCCCCCCCGGCGGGATGCATCCCGCTCCCAGCGCTGCACAGAGAACCAGCCTGGGTCAGAGCACTCAGCTCACCAACAGCCTGGCCGGCAGGCTCCTTCCTTCCCCCACTGCCTCTGGCTGGGCCGGCACCCTGGGAAAGCCAAAGACCCTCCGACCTGGGGCGCTGGCCAGGAGGAGTTGAGCCCTGTATGTGCCAAAGCCACACACAGCACTTGACACAGGGAAGCCTCTCCGCCCCTCAGCTAAGCTCTGGAGAGGCGGGGGTGGGGCGATTTCCAGCCTGTTCGCGCCCCAACACTGCAGTCTCCACAGCAGCACCCCAGGCAGGGGCGTAGCACCCTCTTCACCTGCGCCTCCTCCCCACCCAGGAGCGGGGCTGCTCCATCCCCTAGGTACCCTCCTCTGCTGAGCCACCTCTCTGGCCGGGTTCGCTGAAGCCACTGCAGTCAGGTTCCCTGGGCCCTGGTGCACAATGCATCATTAGGGTTTAACCCCTTCCTGCCCGCACTGTAGTGAAGGGACAGGAGGCAGCTGGGTTATGTCGGTGGCCAGCAGCAGCCTGGAGGTGTTAGCTGCCTTTGACACTGTGCGGGCAGGAAGGGACAAGCTGCTTCCAGTCACAGGTGATCTGGGAGGCGGGAGGGGAGGAGAGATGAGATCTGCAAAGAGACGGGTCAGGTCATCCCTCCTCTCCTCCCGCCCGCCCACATCTGGAAGCAGCTCCCATCCCTTCCCTCCCATACAGTGTCGAAAGGCTGCTGCTGGCCACATTCTGGTTTGAACCCTGGCTGAAATCTGGGGAGGGGGGCATGTGACCTGGCGTGCCCCCCCACGCTTGGCCTCAGGAAGATGCGGCACCAGGTACCAGGAGCGGCGAGTCCATCCCAGAGGCCCAGCCAGGCATGGAGAGCAGAGAGCACCAGACAGGGAGGGTCAGGTCGGTCGGTCACCCACCCCCACCCATGTGAGAGAGGTGTATGAGAGTGAGGTGTGTGTCGCTTCTCCCCATGTGAACCCTAAAGCCTTAACGATAAGAAGGTAAATAAAAAGCATCTGAGTATGCAGTATTTCTTTTTAACAGGGGCTCAGTCAACTTGATGTTAATTTGAATGTTTGTACTGCGTAGTTCTGATTGATTGCCGTTGAACTCTCTTGAATACAAGTAATTTTACCAGGTGTCCCGTATTCAGCATAGGAAATATGGTCACCCTAGTCAAGGTTGCAACCTCATGGGCTGGGTGTCCCTAAGGGTACGTCTACACTACCCGCTGGATCAGCGTGTAGTGATCGATCTATCGGGGATCGATTTATCACGTCTTGTCTAGACACGATAAATCGATCCCAGAACGCACTCTCCGTCAACTCCGGAACTCCACTGCTGCGAGAGGCAGAAGCGGAGTCGACTGGGGAGTGGCGGCCATCGATCCTACACCGCGAGGACGTGAAGTATGTCAATTTAAGTCGATCTAAGATACGTCGACTTCAGCTACGCTATTCTCGTAGCTGAAGTTGCGTATCTTAGATTGATTCCCCCTTTCCCCCACAGTGTAGACCAGGCCTATGCCTCTGACCGCTAGAAGCTGGGACTGGATGACAGGGGATGTATCGCTCGACAGTTGCCCTCTTCTGTTCACTCCCTCTGAAGCATCTGGCATTGGCCACTGTCAGAAGACAGGTCTTTTGAACCACTGGTCTGGCCCCACATGGCAACTCTTATGTTCTTACGCCTTATAACTCCTTTGGGAGGTAGTTGTTACAGATAGAAAAACGAGGGTAGGTGACTTTGTCAAGATGAATGAGTGAATCAGTGGTAGAGCTAAGTTTAGAACCCAGGAGACCTGATTCCATGTGCGAAAGAATCTACCTACTATGAAAAGTGGCAGAGAAGGCTACACTGGAAGAACAAAGGGAGCCAGAAGGAAAATGGGTATGGAGTCAGAAATGTAGGCTGGGCAAAATCCATGGAGAAATTTTTGAAAACTAGCTTTTTGGCTTTATTGAGAGGGAACCTGCCAGTGAAGCTGATGAAGAAAGGAACTCTGCCTCCTGTTTCCTAGATCTCAGAAGATTAGGGATTTAGCATAGTCATTCCAATGCAGTGGTGTTCATACAGAAAGCAAGTAAGGCATGAATAACGATTTAAGCAAGTACAAGGTAAAGAATTCTGGCAGTGCTTCAGAGGTGGTGATAGGCTGACATACAAACAAATAGAATATACATACCAGGGGAAGGGGCTGATGGTATTCATGCACCAGTACCAGCTCACTAAGCCACCCAGCCCTCTCCTCACTCACTCTTTAGATCTCATCTCAGCAACTAAATCCCACTTTGTTTTATGAATAATTCTTAACCATAGCACTGTCTCTTCCATGTTATCATCAATTCAAGTTTGTATAATTTCAAATTCCAAACTAAATGTATATTTTTCATTCTAAATGTAAATCTTATCTAATTTAATTAGCAATTTGGCAGCTGATGTCTGAGCTAACTTTGATATTTTGAATGATTAAATGTAGTAAAACATTTATTCTTATCCACACTAGTTCTGTGGCTCTGTCTTTGTTCTTTAATCTAACATTAAGTGTAAATAAAACAGCTGTGTGCATGAAGCAACTTCACAGTGAACAGCTGTTTCACTATAAAAATACAATTGTTTGATACACCACATTACAAAACAATGCAAGAGAATATGTTTGATTAGGGAATGTAATCATTATAACTCACAAAGCCCAGAAGAGCAAGTGACTTATATAGTCCTTTATATGTGGCAATCAGAAGATTACTCTGACAGAGTCTGGTGGGCCCCGGAAATTGGAAGTGGGATACAGATCTTTTCAGCATTAGGTCATTGGGTCAATAGTGGCAAGGACTCATTGCCATCCAATGGTTTTTCATTAGCCGATGTGAGTTGATGGTATTAGTCCATTTTCATTAGGACAGTTGTCCAAATCAACAGAAACCACCATCGCAAGTGGTACTACACGGCACCATTGTAGACTAAGGTTTGAACAAGCCTGGAGACCAAACAAAGAGGCAGTTCCTCCTGCTCCAGGTTAGAATGATTAGGAGAAGCTTGTCTTGTCACAGCTGGTGATGTGTCTGTTCCATAGAGATGCCAGGTGCATCAGTCTCCAGAAGTGCCAACCTGGCACCTTTCAAGAACACTAACTGCATTCAAAATGTAAAGTGTGGGGGAAACCACCGGTAAAAGAGATTGAAATAATTCCAGAGTCTCATGTGGTAGATTAATTGTATGATCAGCGCTGTCACAAGAAACAATGTCGCTGTAGAATCCTTGCAATAGTTAATCAGAATGAGATGGTGATTATTTGTCACCGGACATGTATGTATGAATATTCAAAAGGTTGAGGCTGTTTTACTTGATTTTTTTATGAGCATTGTGTTTGATTACAGATACATGGCACAATCCCATCATATTTGACTTGATGCACATCTCTGGTGCTAAGAATGAATCTCAGCTAAATTAAGAGGTCTTGATCCTATGTGATTTATTCAGACAAAACTCCTATTGGTCTTATTTATATATATATTTATTCTTTATTGTCTTTATCATATCAAAAATAAACCAGTGTGTGATCCACCAATGGGAGCTGAAGAATAAAGTGCACTTTGTTGAACCAGTTTTTTTAATATATTCACCTCCTTGCCTATTCAGTCACTGGATTGGCCTAATATTGCAGTCAAGTAATTCTATATTCTCACTCCTGGGTCTCATGGCCACAAGAAAAATTTGGAATCTGGCTATATCTTATCCACACGCCCTATAATAAAAGATGTGAAGGAACGATCCATTGATGCTCCTTACACAAAACCAATGGGTGTGTTATCTGCATATAGGCAGTGGAAAGTTTTCCTGTTCTATATATTATCATGTAGCTTTTGTCATTGTTTGCATCAGTAAGTTACTGCACTGACTGAACAACAGGAAAGCTCTCGGTAATCAGACGTAAGAGAAGACGAAGGGAAACTTGCTGATTTCAGTGGCATCTCAATGATTTATTTCTGCACCAACTTGAAAATGCTTGTGCATATATTAACAAAGGGTATCACTGACTTACTGGGATTGGATTAATAAGCATATGAGCATTTTAACTGGGAATAGGAGTTTGTAATGATGATTCTCTAAATAATTATTGTTGCATTTTATATTTGCCGATAGCTATTATTTTCATTGTTTTTCTATAAATAAATGCTAAATCTTTTTGGCATCTTCCATTGAGGTTAATTCAAGGTCTTAAAATAAAAATAATTGTAGTACAATACTATGAAGGGCAATAAACCCAGGATATCTTGGAATTGGGTCTGTTTATCAGATCATACGGGAGAGTCTGGTTTGTTAATAGCATTTCAGTTTATGGGCTGCTGAAGTTTCTGAACACATAAATGGCCTTGACAAATGAAAGGTTTTCAGCCTGTGTTGGTTTTTTTAATATCACTGTTGTTACCATTAAGTTGCAAGAGCAGCAAAGCAGGCTGTAGTGCTCACATCCCATCACTCGGGGAGTCATAACACACTTCCTGCAATTAATCATTACACTTGATAACATAAGAACTGTTGCCCTCAATCTGTGTCATCTGTAACTTTCCAAGTCCCTGGTGTTTTCTGATAGTTCCTCCCGTTGGTGCTCCATAGCACTAATATTTTTCTGTCCATAACTTCATTTTGTTGTCTTTTGAACAGGTAGAAGATATTTCAGCCACTCACGAAGCTGCAATGTTAGAGATGGAAAACAGTCACACAGTTGCCATTGCAGTACTCCAGGATGATCATGACAACAAAGTTCAAGGTAATGCTGGGACACTTATACATATGGAGCCATCCGAGTCCTAAAGTTGGGAGTGCTGTGAGATAGGCTTGAAGCTCCTTAATCCCAATCAGATGATAAAATCGCAGTTGGCTGATAACCCTGACCCTCTAATTTTGGACTGAATTCTCACTATGTAGTTGCACTGTAGGGAGGCCTTAAAAGGAGGAAACAATATTCCACAATGAAACCCTATAAACCTTCATTGGCTGTCTTTGCTGCCAAGGACGAGAGCAGAAAAGCACCTCAGTACATGCATAACGCTTAAGATAGGGATTGACTAGAAAAGGCAGAACCCATGCCTTCCGATCGCTCAGTATACCCCGACATCCATGCCAGAACACAAGAGGACTCCAGTCACTCTTGATGGAAGCATCATTGTTGTAGACATTTAAAATTAGACTGAACCCACTAGTAAATACAGGGCAGGGAATAACTCTGCATTTTAGAGTCAGTGCTGCAATGGGCAGAGGTTTGATTTTACCAGGTATAAGTTAAGGGCCATTGCTCTGGGCGCCAGCATAGTAGAACGGCTGCTCCCCAACACCTCCCCCTTCCTGAGCAGCCAGTATCAAAATGCAAGACATTACGCACACCTTGTCATTGCAGAGAGGCTCCCAGCAGGCACATAGTATCCAGCCCAGTTTAGTCACCGATTCCTCCCCTTCGTTTTGTAAAGCTGCGTGCCAGCTTTTCTGTTACACCAGGGGCTTCAATGAGAATAATGTCATAAGCCTAAACATTACTGGCCAGTTGTAGGGATTTTATACTGATTGATGTGGTGTATAATAGATACCCTATCATGTGTGCAAATGGTTTTGACCTCTGAATAATGAAAGGACAATTGTTTTTATGGCAACATGGTTACAGCCTTAAACTAGACATTGTTGGTGCTAATGTCGAGTTGGACCCTGCAAGGTGACACCTGCCCTCCACTCCCTAGGGGTTAATGAGAATTGAGAGGTACTCGGGACCGTGCTCAGTCAGGCCCTTCGTGAAATGAAACGTTAGTTTTAGCTAATTGTCTTAGGCTGTGAAGGATGGTGAGCATTAACTGTGGAGACAAAAGGAAGGAAACGGCTGCTTTGGAGAATGCAGCTGTGACATGATTTAAAATGAAGACCCTGATGCTAATGGTGTTATATATAAGCCCACTGGTGAATAGTATTAAACACCTATAAAGGGAGCTAAAAAAGGAAGAGGTTAGTGCTGCAGTGCATTTCAGACAGAAATACTGCTTGGGAAGAATCTTTCACTTAGATTGGAAGGAACTGTCCTGCTGTGACCAAGCACTGGAATGGGTTAGGGTTACCTAGGCAGGTGGTGGAATCTCTTCCTTAGAGGTTTTTAAGGTCAGGCTTGATAAAGCCCTGGCTGGGATGATTTAGTTGGTGTTGGTCCTGCTTTGAGCATGGGGTTGGACTAGATGACCTCCTGAGGTCCCTTCCAACCCTGATATTCTATGATTCTATGAAACTGAGAACAACTTCAAGCCTGATCCCTCAGCTTCCCATAGCTTCACTTGACGGCTCTCTGCACCACTCAGGATTGCACAGTATAAGAAGTCTGCATTATGCCAAATGAGATTCAAATGCATGACTCCCTTTGAAGTCACTGAGAGCTGCATAGGTGCAACTGAGAGCTGAATTCTGTCTGTACTGGTGATATTCCCAGGTAATGAAGATCCAGAACTTAGGGTAAAATTTTCAAAAATGTCATTGTCTTAGAAGCCTACGTCCCATTGTCAAGAGAGATATAGACTACTTAGAAGCCTAAACTTCATTGAAAGTCAATAGGAATTAGGTTTCTTAGACCTGCATTTTAAAGATATGTAGATGTTGCTCCGCTCAGCACTGTAATACCTCAAGACTTAGGAACCTAAGTTTCATTTTCAGAAGTGACTGAGGCATTTAGGAACTTAAGTCCCCTTGACTTTCACTTTTGAAAATGAGATTTAAGCTCCAAAATCACTTAGGCCTTGCAGTGCTGAGCAGAGCAACACCTAAATACCTTTTAAAATCTGGGACTAAATCTCTTTTGAAAATAGACATATGCTTCTTAGTCACTTAGACACACATAAAAATTTTACCCTCAATCCTTTGCCTTATTGTTGTGTGTCCATGTGATCTGATCAGACAGGCACTTCAGAATAAAACACAAACCACATCAATTTTCTTGTGTGGATTGATATTCAGTGGATACCACTCTTTCTTACACTTACACACACACACACACACACACACACACACACACACACACACACACACACACACACA